CCCCACACAGACAAACACGTTCGGCTTCACTTTGCATGCCTGGCCAGGAATGCCCGCATGCCCTCCAGTGACGTCACGCACTCGCACAGACATGCGCACACACACACACTGCAATGCTATTGGTAAAATAAAAACATTGCAGTAATTTACAACGTAACACATTGTTTTTGACGTGGCCTTATCTAAGCAAAGCCAGTGTTTAATTATTCACTTTCAAGAGTTAATAACTTTGTTTATGAATGCTTCCCACTGTCCTTAGTGAGCGGACCAGTGCAGCAGCATCCACGGTTGTACTGTACTTCTATACTCACGCTGACCAGTGTGGTGAAGTATGGTCAAAGAACGCTCACGGCCCGTACAGCCGCGTGAGGAGGCCCTCATCCAGCAGTGGATTAACAGACGCCTGTGAGACAAGGTCTCTATCATCACTCCATATTTTACGAAAACGCCGCGAGGCTTGCTTGAAGTATAGGGATTCCCGGCGTAAGGCACTACCACTAGAATCCAGGGCATCAGTGTCTCTAACAAGGCCATTATGAACTCACTGAGAGAGAGAAACCCAGATCCAGGGCCGGAATCCTGAACCCACGGTTTAATATCCATACCAATGTAATATAATTGTAATTTGTACTTATGTGAATGGGAAGTTAATAGTAGCTATTGAGTAACAGACGCATTGGCACAGACTGCACGCATACGGTTCTAGAACAATGGGGGCATTGAGAGAGAGAGAAACTCGCACGCGCGGGCACTCCACAAACCAGTGGAGCTGTCCCAGTGCTAACCTCACTTACATCCACCTACCCCTCACTCACACTCACCCACTCACTCACTCACACACACGCCTCACTTACACACTCACACACTCACTCAACACTCACTCACACCCACCACTCACTCACTTACACCCACCCCTCACTCACCTCCCACCCACTCACTCACTTACACACACCCACCCACCCACCCCTCACTCACACACTCACACCCACCACTCACTCACACCCACCCCTCACTCACACCCACCCCTCACCTCACTCACACCCACCCCTCACTCACTCACACACACACCCCTCACTCACCCACACACACCCACCCCTCACTCACCCACACACACCCACCCCTCACTCACTCACTCACACACACCCACCACCCTCACCTCACTCACACCCACCCCTCACACACTCACTCACACCCACCCCTCACACACTCACTCACACCCACCCCTCACCTCACTCACACCCACCCACCCCTCACCTCACTCACACCCACCCACCCCTCACCTCACTCACACCCACCCTTCACCGCCACCCAGACACGCGTCCAAATCGATTCCAGCTGCAGCCACCGCCACCCCTCCCCCCATGGTAGTTGGAGGAGTCGGGTTTGCCACCTATTCCAGAAGAGACCAAACCCCGGACATGTAAACTAATTGACAACATACAACAACAACAATCAATGTACAGAATCATCACCACCCCCTAGATCCACTCCGCCCAGACGCACGCCGGGCTTGTCTCCAGTTAGAATCGGACGACAGCGACAGTCAAATTGGCAGTGGTGAAGGGGGGGGGGGCGACTCGTGTGGCGGCACCCAGCGCGCACTGGAGCCCTCAGCCCCGCGTTGTTCGCTCACTTTCAGAGGGAAGGGGGGGGCACTATCGCCGTTAAGAGTCATCGTCAGTGTGAGGGCCGCCACACATTTGAAGCCATTTGGGGGTTTGACAGCAGCACGATGATGATGATGGGGGTGTTTTCACTTGTTGTGTATTGTCGCCAGTAGCCCTTGGGGGCCTTGCAATGAAGAGCACTGCACCCGTGGCAATGAAGAGCACTGCACCCGTGACAATGAAGAGCACTGCACCCGTGGCAATGAAGAGCACTGCACCCATGGCAACGAAGAGCGCTGCACCCGTGGCAATGAAGAGCACTGCACCCGTGGCAATGAAGAGCACTGCACCCGTGGCAATGAAGAGCACTGCACCCGTGGCAATGAAGAGCGCTGCAGCCGTGGCAATGAAGAGCACTGCACCCGTGGCAATGAAGAGCACTGCACCCGTGGCAATGAAGAGCGCTGCACCCGTGGCAATGAAGAGCGCTGCACCCGTGGCAATGCGAGGCAGAGCTGCGGGAACATACGTCCCTGTAGCCCAGCACGACTGGAGGCGGTTCCCAGACGGTCGTGAACCTCCCTCGCTGCCACCCGTGGGCGTCGAGGTCACAATCTTCCTGCGATTAACATGGTTGGATACGTACGGTGCGAAAGAAGTTCAACATACATTCATGAAATAACTATTGCCCGTTCTCCAACCCAGCTAATTATGTGGATTTGTGAAACTCTCGTCAACTAAGTCCATGTGAGTCTATACGTCTCCCTGTGAATATATATGGCTGTGGCATTCATTGTTGATCGGGCAGAGACTCGCTAATACCTGAGAAATGGGTTGAAAAATCACAACTTTGTCTAAGTGTATGGGTCTCGGTGTGAGTGAATGGGTATCTACGCGAGTCAATGCGTTTCATTGTGAGCCTATTGCGTCTCTGTGTGAATCATCGGTGGAAGGGCTTATACCATAAACTCAGCTGACACCCAAATTCAAACCCAGCATCTCAGCTGTGCGTCGGCTTAACGCTTAAACCCCCAAGTTAAGCGACCACTTCCATGGTGTTGTTTTAAAAAGAGTGATGTCACGGCACGCATGTGGTTTTGGAGAAGAGAGATAAAAAGCGATACAAGAGACCTTTCGTCTGAGCACAGCTCAGCGATGCTCTTCTTCCCAGGGAGTAGTCTCTCTCTCTCTCTCTCAAGGTCCAGCCAATTAAACATACCCAGCAGAGAAAAACTCAAATTGCCTTGCAGAGCAAAAGGGGGCGGGGGGGGGGGAGAAATCACCACCACCCCCACTCATTTACAAACCCCTAGGGCCCTCTTTAGTTTCCACTCCGTTGATTCAAAGTTATTCTTTAAATAGCCTCGTGGCGCGCGTGCGCACGAGAGAGAGATCCACACTGGGGTTCCCGACGAAAACGCGAGGCCCCAACTCTGTCGCGGTGACCACTGTGGGGTTCCATGTCAGACTCGTGGTCATCTCCGCCATGGAACCCCCCCCCCCCCTCCGGGATTTTCCTCACTCACACCACGCGCTCAACGCGACCGCCCCTCAAACCGACCGCCCCCCAAACCGATCGCCCCGTTCCCAAATCGCAAAGCGGGCGGAACCAAACCATGACACGGACTTCGCTGCTCGCTCGGAGCGGGCTGACGCAAAAAATAAAATTCGACAAAGCAAAACAAAGATTACCCCGTGGAGCATTAACAGACTGTTGGGGCAAGTGCTGTTAGCGACCAGCTATGAAGGCCGGCATGGCACACGAGGGGGTGGGTGGCCAACACCACGCCCGACCGCCTTTGTCTCCCTAGTAGCGATGTTTACACACCACACCAGGTACTCATTTAAGGCTGAATCGACCTAGGGGATGCCCAGGACCGGATTAGATAACTGTCACCGGTGTTGGTCTTGAGGGAAAATCGAACTCTGGTCGCCTGGTTTGTAGCGCAGTGCGCTAATCTCTACACCACCGCTCCTCACAAATCTCCGTGCATTGCATGAGTGTGTGTCTACGTGCGCCAATGCGCGTGTGTCCACGTGCGCTGGTGAATGTTGAGTGGGGGCTTCGAGAAAAAGCCTTGGGAGAGTCGAGCGAAATAAGAGGAGAGAGGTAGGAGAGTGCGTGGAGGAGAGTGGAGTGAGATGAGAGGGGAGAGGTACGAGAGTGCGTGGAGGAGAGTAGAGTGAAATGAGAGGAGAGAGGTAGGAGAGTGCGTGGAGGGGAGTAGTGAGATGAGAGGGGAAAGGCAGGAGAGTGCGTGGAGGAGAGTGAAGTGAGATGAGAGGGGAGAGGTAGGAGAGTGTGTGGAGGAGAGTAGAGTGAAATGAGAGGGGAGAGGTAGGAGAGTGCGTGGAGGGGAGTAGAGTGAACGAGGAGACGCGCGCAGGGGTAAATCCACGTTGAAAATGAATTCAAATGTTAAAATATTTAATTCTAACCACGCATGCGAGCAATCAGGGACCCCCACAAGCTTTGCGTGACCTTTTTTCCCTCCGAGACCCTCAAATTCCCAGCCAATCGCTGCGCGGCGGTAGAGCGAAGCAGGAGGAGGAGGAGGAGGTCGCTGGTGCCGCTAATAACGGAGACGCGGGGGTCATGTTTCTGTGCCGAGCGGGCCGAGCGAGATCTAACGCAATTGCGTCGGTAATCGGACCCTTATTAGCTGCAGATGCTACATCTGATGGCGCGTGTGTGTGTGTGTGTACGCGATGTTGCCGTTGTTGTGTTTTGTTTGGCAGAGCGGCGACGCGGCCGTTACTCGATCCCCGCGACGGGCCCGGCGCACACGCACACGCGCGCGCACGTGCACACGGGCACGCGCGCGCCAACATACATGTGCACCAACGCTGGTGTCCATGCGTACCCACCATGTATACCCATGTGCATGTGTACCCGTGCTTGCGCCCAGGGCTGCGCCAATGTGGTGTAGTCAAGCATCTGTTCGTGCGCTTACCAATGCGTCGGCATGTAGCCGTGCATGTCCCATACACTGTACGCCACTTTGACCAGTGTGTGCCAGTACGTATGTGCACGTGCCCACGTATCTGTACCCCGGGTTTCTCGCTAACAACACTTGCCCCAACAGTCTGTTTACGATTGTACGGGGGATCTTTGTCTTTGTACCCGTGCGGGTACCAATGTGTGCGTGTAATTGCACGTGCCGTGTGCACGTGTACCCGTGCCGTGTAACCGTGCCGTGTACCCGTGCCGTGTGCACGTGTACCCGTGCCGTGTACCCGTGCCGTGTACCCGCGCCGTGTACCCGCGCCGTGTATCCGTGCCGTGTATCCGCGCCGTGTACCCGTGCCGTGTATCCGTGCCGTGTATCCGTGCCGTGTACCCGCGCCGTGTACCCGCGCCGTGTACCCGCGCCGTGTACCCGCGCCGTGTACCCGCGCTTGCCGCACCGTGCTCGCGTGCAGCCAGCCGAGCAGCGCCCTCACGGTGCCCGGGGGCAGCTGCCTGCGGAGGCCCTCGCGCTCCTCCTGGCTGCCCAGCCGCTCGAGCCGCTGGCAGAGCTCCTCCGTGAGGTGCACCACCTGCAGCCCGGCCCACGGCGCCACGGCCTGCGACTCGCCGCCGCCGCCGGTCCTGCTCGCCAGCGCCCAGCTGCCTGCGCCGCCGCCCGTGTCCTCCAACTCCTCCTCTTTGTCGTCTGGCGACAGCCGGGAAGAGTGGGGGGAGACTCGACAGTGACCCGGCGGATTGAAGGAACGTACTCGTCGTCGTCATTATTACCATCATCATCACCGTCATCATCATCATCTTAGTTATCTTCAACGTCGTCATCACCATCGTCGTCATTATCATCATCGTAATCGTCATCGCCATCATCCGTAATTTCTCATCTGAAACGCACCTACCGTTCAAGGAAGTTGGAGGCTCAGCGAACGAAGGGGATTCTTTGAGATAATATTTCAGTAAGGAAGCGAGTCCAGACCAAAAGAACGCCGCGTAGACGAGACGAACAGGCAACACACACACACACACGAGGGCAGAGAGAGGTGATGAGCGCAGCCGTGCAGGAGAACTCTCGCTGTGCTGGCCACGTCGTTCCCGCTGTCCATTCCAATCCATCTCAGAACTAAACATCTTCAATGGATTCATTGCGGTTGTATTTAATAGATTCGCGTGTATACACTCCGCTGACCAATTCCTCATTCTCCCGTGCTCTTATTTTAATCCGACAGCTTTATCAGAAGAATGTTATCTACAGCTCGTTAAAGAAGAACACTTTGTAATTAATCATGCTCTATATATAAAATAATAATGATGATGAAAATGACGTCTGATTACTAGAGACGTTCTCCTTTACTCCTGGTCGCGACTCGGAGAGAGCGCGAGATGCGATCGGCGCTTTGAAGCCTCTCGCATCGCATTCCAACGCATTTGGAAGGGCGCCCCCAGTGGCAGCCGCCCCTGCGTGGCTCTACGACAGCGCCGCGGTTCCGTGAAGCGAACCGCGAGTGGCGGCCGTGCCGCGTCCTCGCGCGGGCGAGGAGCCGAGCCACTGCTGCGCTGTCTGTCGCTGAGACGTTCACACCTCCCCACCCACCCCACTTCGATCAGTGTCAGAGTTGTAGATGAAGCTAAAGGGGGTAAAACGCCACTGTACCAATGAGTTCCTTCGAGAGCAGTGGGTTTCTTATTCTTCTTAACCTGGGCTGCACGCTGCACCCCCTGGGGTGCGAGATGCCCTTTCTATGGGTGTGAGACATGGCCAGATTTAACTTGAAGGTAAAACATCGAAACAAAACATTAATCACGGGCACGTAAGTAACAACTTACTTTGTTTCATCAACCCCTATGTAGTTATTAGCATTCTACACTTTCTTTACGATTGAGAACCAAAGGGGTGCAAGGCTGCAGTCAAGGTGATGAACCACTGCCCTAGAGGGTATCTGGCCTACTCCTCCACGTGGGACAGACGTGTCGGAAGAGGTGTGAGCAAGCCACGCGTTGCCCCCACCACTCTCCACCTGCTCCCGACGAACCGCCTCTAACACGCAGCCACTGCGTTAGATCGTTTCCCCGGGCGAGTGTTGAACCGGGGGTTTCTTTCCCCACGTGACAGCGATCGCGCGTGAAGCCCGTTTACAAACTGCCCCCAACGCCTCCATGGGCAAGTTTACAGGAGACGGCACGCGCATTACTCGCGTCGCCGATGACAATTAACAGACGGGAACGCGGTGCTCTGATGGTCGGCACGCTGGCATGCAACCCAGAGGACGACGGTTCGATTCCAACTCCCGACGCGACATTTAGAAACAAACCCCCCACCTCACCGGGCCACCCAGGAAAGATAAACGAACGCACCGCAATTCTCGGAGTAGGTCGGCAGATGGATGTGTGGTGGGGTCAAGTGGGGGTTACTCAGACCTCCTCCAAGACGTCTGGGCCAGCGTCGAAGAGTAGCCGTAGAGCCGCGTGTTGGAAATTAAACTTTCTTTTGACAGCAGGCAAGGCCATTGAAAGGACAACCACTGTTAATTTTCTCAATAAGTGTTTATTTAATTATTTATTTTAGCGACCCTGGATGGATGATGGCCTGAGTCAATCCCAGAGCCAAATTTGAACTGGGAACGTGAAGCCGAGCTGCGACACGTCTGTGCGTATGGCAACTCAAAAGTGTTTTCGTCCATTCCCCTAATATCCGCTAGTCCCTTACAGATGATGCACAGCAAGTCCTATTATCATTATCCGTGCATCGATTTGTTTTCTCTCTACCGCTGCTCCGTGGGTTCTCGCGGTCGTGCTTTTGCCCCCCGCCCCACCCCACGATGTCCGACGTTTTGCGAGCTTCTAATTCACGTAACAATTGGATCTACCTAATAGCGGGCACCCGCATGGCCACGCGTCAACGGGCGAATCCCTGCGCGCGCGCGCACGAAAATAACAAAAACTCAACCACAAAAATGTCACCACGAGTGGCGTGGAGCGGGGCAGTGGACGGCGACCGCTGGCACTGCGAACGTCTTGGATCACACGGGACCCCTGCCCCGGGACCCCTCCTTTCCCCTACCCCTCGCCACAAAGGGTGTTGTGGTGGCGGCGGCGGCGGCACCTGCTACGATGCCGTCCATCTGTTCCAGAGCCGCGGCGCGTCGGAGGGTGTCCCCTCCATCCATCACTTCACCCGCCGTGGCCCAGCCACCTGCAGCGAACACACGCAGCGCCCCGGCTCGCGGCGCTTGCGACACGGCATCGTCATCGTCGACGGACATGTTTGATCCACTGCTGGTTGAAAGACTCACCGAGCGAGCCGTCGATAGATACCTTGCGCCGTCCCGCGACGCAACTCAGCCCCTGTAGCGCCTGCGCGCGAGACGATTGCATCGCCCCATCTCCACAGAGCACGGGATCTCGCGATTGCTCCATGAATCGATTATTCGAGCCGGGCTTGCGGCTCTGCTAGGTTCACTCGACCCACACGGGTACCTGGTGCGATGTAGAAACATCGCCACTGCGGGGCCACGTGGTGCTGGCCTGCCTCACCCCCCTCGCGTGCCGTGCCGGCCTTCATAGGAGCTCGCTAACAGCACTTGCTCCTCCAGCCCTGATTCTACTTCACAGGGGGGTCGTTGTATGTGTGTGTGTAGATTTGTGATTGTGTATCGGTGCGTGTGTGTAGATTTGTGATTGTGTTTAGGTTTGTGATTATGAATCGGTGTGTGTGTGTGTGTAGGCTTGTGATTATAAATCGGTGTGTGTGTACGCATCTGATGATGAAACCACAACGATCTTCACTTAAAATATCTCCATAGATGACTCCCGCTGCCGTCCGGAACACGGCCATCGTCATCTTACTGCTGCTGTACATGAGCAGCAGAGTTCAATCGACACCGACTTTTAAAAGAGACGACACTCTAAAGCCACCACCCCCGCCACCCCCCGCGCATCTTCCTGAACGCCGCCGCCTCTCCAAGGCCCCTCCCCCACCACATCGCTCTCCTGGCATCCAAAGTGCCACCTCGGAGTCACGGTCACTGCGATGTCAGTGACAGATCGGGCGCCTTACTCATCGCACAATCGTCGTCGTCGTCGTTCTGTAGTATTATTATCGTCACCTGAGACTGGAGAATCGGGGACGGGGGACGGGGTTTGTGGTCTCATAAACGCGGACCCACGGAGGCACGACCCTAGCGAGCGCGCCCTGCCCTCTGCATCATTAACCGCACTAACTCGGATGTGAATCTCGCCGCGTGACTGCGTTACACAAACCCAGTAGAGTGCTTCTCCACGCCTGCCATGGAAATAACACACAAAAAACACGCAATAAAACGCACGCCAACTATAGATGACAAGTTATGCGATGGGGGGGGGGGGGGGTGGAACTCGGGTTTCTAGACACCCTTGTCCATCACAGGTCGAACGGGAGAGGACACACCTGGTCGCTTAGCGAATATATTTTAAACGCAACACAATATCCGACATCTGATCTCGGCACAAATTAATTCCTAGCCACTCGAACACAGGATGCCAATAATAATTACCAAACATTTTTGCCCGGGTCATACAGGGGCGGGTGGCAATCGTCGTCACAGGGTGGTGGCGCAGTGGTTAGCGAGCGGTGCCATGAACCCCAGGAGATCCGAGTTAGATTCCCGGCCACGGCTGACATCAGCGGCGAGTAATATCTTGACTCGGTCCTACCTCGCCCTATACGCTTCACCAAACCGCACTGACCAGCGTGGTGAAGTATGGTCAAACAACCACCACGACGCGGAGATGCCTTCGTCCAGGAGCGGATTAACAAAGGAGGGCTGTAAAAGTGACTACAACTATTATTATTATTGACGCCCTACTCACTGTTACAACTTGGCAAGAGCAAAGTGCGCTGTGCTAATATTAGTTCAGAGATATGCCGGGGTCTACGGTTCCTGGCTTTCCTCTACATTTTCAGCAATGTGCCGATACAGTCACTAGACGCGGTACCAACGGGTCACCGTCAGCTCTTCACTGCTGGATGAAGGTCCCCCTCCTCCCCTTAGGCCACCGCTTGATCGCGTGGCTCCATCTCCGCGGCGGTGGGCATCCTCCGAGACGCGTTCTAATCACCGGGGCTCCTCACCGCCCCTGGACCACAGCAGCAGCAGCCACGATCAAGAACCTCAATCTACGCGGCCACGCAAGCGTCGAATGGAATAGATTCTCGCCACTGATTGGTCGCCAAGAATCAATTGTTATTTTCTGATTTGTTTCGTGCGTCAAATTAATTTTCACGCTACATCACTTTGCTGATGGTTACATTTCAGACCAATGAAGAAAAATATAACCATAATGACCAGCATTGATACCACTAATCATCCCTTGCTATTCATTGCTTTACAACGGCTTTGATTCGTTTGTGGTCCTTCTCCCGCACCTCCGATAAGCACGGTTGGCTACGCACGGTTCGAAATAAATTCATAGATACCGGGACAACAGTGGTACTCGCATATCAATACAGAAACCAACTCTCGACAGATTCGTCAATTAACATGCGACTTTTCAGGCAATTATCCTGTTTTATAGCACAGAGGCCAGAAAGATAAGTTAAAAGTTGGAGAATGCAATTCATACCACGAGGCCTGATGGTGGGGAAAAAAACAATCGTATCAAACTTCATTCATCTGGACAGGATTTATTTCAGTCCTACATTTGACGATTTGTGGGTGCATGGACGATGTCTTTGGTTAAGGCAATCCACGAACTTGGTGCCAAAACAACCAGTAAGGGGACAAACGAGGCAGTCAAAACGAGACGGAAAAACCCCATCAAACCGTGACCCTAAATCATAAGAATTCCTCCATTCTGTGGGTAGAGTGTAGGGTCAGTTGCAAGGGAAGTGAACCGTCACAAAGACAAAGATCCCCCGTATAAGCTTCGACAGACTGTTGGGGCAAGCGCTGGAAAGCGAGCACCTTTGAAGGCCGGAGCGGCACACGAGGGGGTGGGTGACCAGCACCACACCCGGCCGCCTTTGAGGCTTACACAGCACACCAGGTTACTCATTCGTAGCAGAGTCGACCTAGTGGAGGCCCAGGATCGGTTCGGATAGTCGTCACCTGAAGTTGGCCGTGAGCGGGAATCGAACTCGGGTCGGCGCATTCGTAGCGCTAACCGCTGCGCCACCGCTCTCCTGAACTGTCACAGCCCAACACACACACACACAAACTTACAGCCCACACACGGCAAGCTGCAACCTCTCGGCTGCGTTTTCAAGTTCATTCGCCGATGACCGGTCGGACCTTCCGTGGTCTCACCTCTCGGACGAGTGTCACTCTCACACGACGACGGCCCTCCGGCGGGGTCTCCCGTGTCTTCACGATCCCTGGCGGACGGGTGGTCGGCCTTGCATAGCAATGCGCGCGTGTCTGTGTCTGTGTCAGCGTGGAGAGAGAGAGAGACGCTACCACGCCGCTGGACTTTACACCGCGGACTGCCCCTTCACCCCCTCGGGACCGCACCGCCCGCCTGTCTCCCTCTCTCTCTCTCTTGCCCTCTCAGCCTGGGACGTCCAAAACACCGCGGCAGCTATTTTAGTTTCGCACACTTCATTAACCTCATTTAGTTTCGTTTTAATTCATCGCAGTTAGCAGAGTGGGTTTGTGGGGCAAGAGGGCTGCACGTGGAGGGTGTGTGTGTGTGTGTGTGCCGAGCTACGCATTTGGTAAAACAAATACAAAAATATGTATTGGAAAGAACTGACCTACCGTGGTGGAGGAAAGGGTCAAGGGGGTCACGGCGTTGATTCCGGCAACCGCCGAGAGCCTGGGTTCAAAGTCAGGCGGCCGCGTGTGATTGGCCGGGCGAGGTGGTAGCTGCACTGCGCGCGGCTGCCTCCAACCCGGAACTGTGGAGGCAGCAGCGAGGGTTGGTGGGTCACTACGCACAGGAGGCCAAACTCCCGTCCCGTGGACATCTACTCGGGAGGAGCCGTACACTGGCTCGCCAGAAGGACAGACATCAAAACATGTGGACTCCACCTGCCCCATCTGTATGGGATAGAGCGTTGCTCCCCTTCTCACGAGTGAATTATCCGAGTGTCGGTTTTTTTGTCCACGTTAACAACTCACTAAATTGGCCAAAAACGCCTGAATAGGGGACCGCGGATCTTGGGCAATTGTTGTGGGCGTTGGCGTTTACTACGCGGCTGCTGCTCTTCCCGCTTATCCGTGCCTCCTCCTCGTGGCGCCTCCCCAAGTCGTCATATCGACGACGGCGAGATGTGGATGGCGTGCGGCGGCGGTGGCTTCGCGTTTCGAGTTGGCAAAATGACGATTGCTAACGACGCATTGCGCGACACCTCCACATCTGCCTCCCAACACTGCCCGCTGTGAACACGCGCGGGGCTCAGCCCGTAGTCACCACTGCCGGACGAGGACCTCCCCCCACCCCCCATGCCTTTGACCATACTTCACCACGCTGATCAATGCACGTGTCTAACGCGTAACTGCCCCGCGTTGAAAATCTTGCTTGCCTCCCCTCCAGAGAGTGTCCAACTCCTCTCTCCTAGCCTGAGGCCCGCGTCCACTCGTCTCCCGGTGGCACGTGACAGACAGAGAGGTCCCCACTTCTCAACCCAACGTCTCCTCGAGCCGTCACGGGAGGCGGATGCCGCTCGATCGCCCCGCGCCACCTTCCATTGCTCGCGCCTGGGCCTCGTGTCGCACCCGGATCTTGAATCTCCAATGGTCGCGCACACCTCGGTCTGGTGGACGTCCAGTGTCGCTCGCCCCTGGTCCCAGAAGGCCGTGTGGTGTTCATCACCCCGACAACGACAAAACATTCCCTTCACGATTACCCTCACACGTAGTCAGTCAGCCACCATTCAAATCGCCACCTGTTACCCTCTTTAAACTAGTCATGCCTCAGGTGTTATCACACAACTTACTCTTATTTTTAGTAACAAACAGAGCCACTGGTCCCCTTCACGGGTCGAAGGTATGCGCCGTGATGCCCCCTTCATTGCATCGTCTTAACATAGTACTTTGTGGAGCAGGAGTTCTTACACCAGCAAATTGGCTTCTCACGTCAGCGTGCCCCTGGGTTCTTTTACTCTGCTGGGCTCCCTCTTGACCGAACCTTGCCTCGATGTTTCGCTATCGGATACAGATCTGGGAGTGGCCTTCATTAAATAGGGGGTGCAATATTGCATATTTCCTGCCTGGCTTCAATTGGAAATGCACGCACACACCAACGCTAATACGACTTCCACAGCTCCCACTCCTCTTCTCGCATTGGAAGAGCTCGCCCATTGGGATAGCAATCACCACCGGGCATGAACTCCCCACTGCTAAACTCGATTACAATCAGGCTGAAGTCGCGCGTGGAGAAATTCCTCCCCACCCACCCCCCCTGTTCGCATTGTACTCAGTCATCATCTCTGCGTCGACTCTACAACACCAGCTCCACAAATTAATATGTCTGCTGTGGCATCGTTCACCTCGTTATAAAGAGTAAATGGGTTTGCACGTGCAGTTGGAAAACAGCACATGTTCGGGGCAAAGGAGTAAATTGTGAATAAAGAAGGTGCATTGCCCGAAACGTCGGCTGATATACATATTAGAGCAGTTGTCATTGAAGAGTGCGTTGAGTTTGTTGTTGTCGTTGTTTGTGTTAGTATGCACCATATGCCAACGCGGTATAACCAACTTGTTTTTGTTACTTTTGAATGAAAGCGATTTTGGGTTTCCCGTGCTGCACCACTGCCACCTCGTGTCTTGCGAGAAAATCAACTCCACGCACTCTTAGTTCTGGTCCAACGAATCTTCTGCAGCGGAACCACGTGGTTGTGATCTCCCAGGTTGAACCACGTGGTTGTGACAGGCCAGGTGAACAACATGGCCATAACGCATGTCCATCTACATGTATGTGTGTTTGTGTGTGTATAGCGGTAATGGGGGGGGGGGGCAGTCGTGTAGTGGTTAGCGCACCGCGCTATAAACCCGGTGATCCGAGTTCGATTCCCGCTTTACGGCCAACACCATTGACAATTATCTGAACCGGTCCTGAGCCTCCCCTACGTCGACTCAGCCTCAAATGAGTACCTGGCGCGGTGCTTACACTTCGCCACTGGGGAGACAAAGGTGGCCGGGCGTGGTGCTGGCCACCCACCCCCTCGTGTGCCGTTCCGGCCTTCATAGGTGCTCACTAACAGCACTTTCCCCAACAGTTTGTTAATACTATACGGGGGATCTTTGCCTTTGTGTATATACATTTCACGTGTTCTCAAACTGCACCTAGCCTGACACAGGAGCCACTTAGTTCATGTATATGGCAGTGTGAATGTGCGTGTATATATGTGAGTGTGCGAGCAGCACTTGACCTAACAGCCTGTGTAGGCTACACTGGAGATACGTTCCTGTGTACATGTGTTTGTTTGTGTGTACGCGCGCTGAAGCAATGGGATCAGTTCACGCGGTCAAGTGAGATGTGGGGGATGGCGTCGTGAGTCTTCCATCCAGCAGCGGACAGAACGTGGCTGCCGATGATGACGATTGTGATTGTGTAACTGGAGATTGGCAGGTGCCCTGTGCATCACACGCGTGGCGATGCATTGATGCTTTCGCGGTTTAACTCTCAGCACGCTGAGCAGAGGTCGTCGGTTCAATCTCACCGCGTTGCAGCTTAAACTCTGAGCACATCTCTTCAATATCGCCCCCGCCTCTGTGCACAGTGTGGGTCTACTCCAACTTCTTCCTATGCATGCATGTTCAACTTATTTCGCACGTAGCCAACCGTGGTGTATGGGGAAGGACAACAAACGAAATTGCAAAGAGCAGTTCTAAAGAAAAGACGTCTTCTCAGCGTGGAAGAGGAGGCACAATTTCCCTTCGAGTGGATTAACCCATCGCGTCCTCAACGTTAGAGGGAGCTCTCTCCTCGAGGCCGTTCCACCAGCGGTGTGCGCGAGCGAGCAATTGCAGGGCTGCGCCTTAACCTCTGAGCCAACATGTGGCGGCGATTCCTGCTCTAGATTTGAAGAGAACTTCTCTCGACGTCTGTCTGGAGAGAAGACGATCACTCATACGCGAAACCGCGGGTTAGCAACGACACACACACACCCTCACACACACACACCCTCACGCGCGCACACAGACCCGCACGCGCGCGCACACACACCCCCCATCGGACCCTCTGCGCAGATGGAAACAAACAACCCGATTGAATATTTTGATATTAACTGGCAATGACAGGATCGCTCCTGCTCCCGGATGTGTATCGGCTTACGTCTTTGAATGAAACCTGGGCTGGCGCAGCACAGAGGGAGGGATGGTTTAACAACGCGCAGCCCTGCGTCGCGGTCGACTTGTAGATGTTGTGGGTTTACTCTCCAACACACAACCGGTGTGCTGAACTAGTAACGAATTGGCACGGTTTTGTTTACGTGACAAACCTTGCAAATTGGCTGTGTCGGGTGGTGGCGGGTTTAACGACACAACATTTATATTTACGCGATCTAACCTCCCCAAAAAATCCCCCTTGATTATGGAGAGGGAGGGATGATGGCGTGACGTCACTCAACAAGGAGTGCAGGCGCTGGGTGGATTATTATAGTCATTATCAGTAATAATTAAGTATAACAAATATATATTATAATAATTGTTATTATAATTATTATATAGCGGGATGGTAAGACGTGGCGACGGAGGCTTGGGGGAATGCGCCACTTTACATTTGTATAAAGTGTCGCATTTCATCCGTAAATTGCAGCACGCCACCGCCGTGTATGTCAAGCAGGGAACGCGCAGAGCCTGCAGGGTCCACTGCCAGAGCTCGGGGAGGTAAAGGCCACTTTGAGAAGGTGAGTTTTCAAGACAGGACTTAAAATATACATCCAGAGCTTTAGGCGCTGCATTGGCAACAGCCCCAGAAAATGAGCCTTGACCTCGGCGTGCTTAGAAGCAGGAGATCTGAAGGTCTCAGGGACCTCGTTAGAGAGCGAGCACGGATCAGCTCCTGTAGATATTGCGGAGCGCACCCAATGAGCGCCTTGTAGGTCAGCGGCAGGATCAGGAGCTGAATGCTCAATGACGAGATGGCTTCGCGGGGAGAGCTTTAGAGGGCCCCTCGAAACCCACAGAATGCTGCCCTGACGTGATGGCTTCATACACTGGAGGGAGTTTGGCCTAGCCTTCTAATATTCCACGTGTTGGATAGACGTATCAGTATACCCACACTTTACTCCACCACACGCGACCAGCCGATCGTAGACTCATTTGGTTTTTGCTTTTCTTATTTTAAATTTATAATTAAAAATTTCAATTGTATTTTATTATTTTTATTTTCTATATCCGTGACTTTACCGAAAGAACCAAGAATGTGGTGTTACTCCCTTCTACCGTTGGGTGCACAGAGACGGGTGGGAAGGGGTGGGAAGGGGTGGGGTGTTTTAAAGAATCGTGTTCATCGCTTCCACTGCCGAGAGAGAGAGAGCGTTGAATCAACTCCTGGCAATCCGCCAGCGATGATGATGATGATGCACAGAGGCCTGGCTCTGCTGATGAGACACTGAATGACGAAACCGGAGTTTTGTTTGCTTTTGATTCAATGCGGCTGAAATGATACGCTCCCAGAAGGTCGTGGGACTGCTGGAATGTGCAAATAAAAATAAAATACTACGTATTTTGTTGTTAACTTAGGGAGACGTGTCTTCCTCGCCTGGTACGCAGGAGGTCGAGGGTTCGATCCCGACCATGATGCCTGTATATTTGGAGTTTGCGTATCTCTTCCCCCCCGCCCACATTTAGAAACACACATTTAGATTATTTAGATAATTCTGCTGCTATAAGTGTCCACGTGATAAGCCACTTTGTTGAGCTATCATTTGTAGCTTCTGAAATATAAGTTAAGAGTTCAGTGGGTTTTACTTGGTAAGATTAAAAAGAAAAAATATGAGTTTACTTCTATCCATAAATATTTTAAGTGATGTGTTTACCTGTCCTATGCTTTGCCCTCATATTGTGTTTGTTGTTGTTGTTTGTTGTTGTTGTAACATTCTGACCCGAAACCCGACTGGACACGTGTGAAAAAGAGCTTAACAGCTCACCGGATTCCTCCCGTGTGATTAAACAGATGCCGTTGCGATTGTGCTTCTGATGAAGGAGAAGCATCGGGATGAATGAACCAACGTCGCCCGCATCACGCGGGCAGCCACCCCACGTGGTGCACCACGAGCGCAGATCTCAACGCGAGGCCACGTGTTCCTCAATAGTCGTCAACCACTCTGGGAGCACACAGCCGTAACCCGCTCTGCAGATCATTCAACCGCATTCACCCGAGTCCATACGCGCAAGACTACTTTCACGGAATGTGTATATGTTTTATACTGATATTTTTTGGGAGGCATGCATTGGAAGGCGCAGAATGTTAATCAACATCTTACACCGCCTGCAGCCAGTGGTTGTAGCCCAAGGGCTCCGGCAACCTGGGGCTCCGTAGCCGCGTGCGGTGGCTCTCGAAGGACGGCTGCTTCGTGACGTTCTTTCTTAAGCACAACCGCCGGTCTCGTATTCACCGCACACTGACTGCATTGCGGCTCTTGAAATGATTAGGGTTTTTTGTTGTTGTACCGAATTCAAACAATAAATGATCTCTTCTGTTTATTTTCGTCGCCGGCACCCTGTTATAGCAGCCCAGTGCGCTATGATACCCAGCCCGTGTGAGTTGAATTCCTGAACACGGCCGCCAACAGCAGTGCTTGTGATGTCAGAACCGGCCTTGACCACCCCACCACCACCACCTTCATCGCCACTTCACCAACCTGCACTGGCACGAGTGGTCACGTGGGGTCAAAGAACCCCACCGTGGACCACGCGGTGTGGGGAGGAAATGCCCTCATCCAGCAGCGGATGAATATTCCACACGAGGTCACTGTGAGGCTGAATGTGAAGGCTCGTGGTACAGTAGACGAGCCTTAGCTCCGGGCTAAATTGAGTTTGAGACCCGGTCTCAGCGCTCAATTAAAACAACCGCACGTGCGATCGCGACGCAGATTTGCGAAGTTAAAGGCGCAGCGCTGCAATCGCAAGTTCGCTCCGCTGCTACCGGAAGAAATCAACTTCCACTCGAGGGAGCTCTAGAGGGTTATTTGGCCTCCTCTTCCATGCTGCTTAGAGGTGGGTCGGGGTCGGGGGAGGGGGCGTGGGGGTGATATTTTGGGTGGAGGGGGAGAGAAAAGAGGGATTTGAGAGAAGGAGCGAGGGAGGGACGGGCTCACACGTCAGGTGCGATTGTGTCACTGCTATTATGGGTGGCGACTTTGGCGCTGTATGGAAATGAGGGCAGGTAAGCCTCACCTGGATTAGTATCGTGGGCGGTTCAGCAAACTCTGCCGTGACTCGTTTACCTGTCAAACGAGTCGTTTACAGTAGGAAACTCACCGCGCGCATCGAAGTCTGCAGAGGAGACAACGTCGTTCGTGGGCGGACATCCAACTCGGGTCGCCAGATTTAAAGAGGCGCAGTGCGCTAGCCACCGCGCCACCGCTCCGACCAGAGTAAGCCAGCCTTTCTGTAAATTCACGCATTGTATTATAAGGTGTCGTGCCTCTGCACACGTCTCTATGTGTGTGTCTGTGTGTGTGTCTGTGTGTGTGTGAATGGTATGTCTGAGCAAGTCGACTCAAATGAGTACCCGGTGCGGTGTGTAAACATCGCCATGAAGGAGACGAAGGCGGCCGGGCGCGGTGCTGGCCACCCACACCGTCGTTTGCCGTTCTGTCCTTCATAGGTGCTCGCTAACAGCACTTTCGCCAAAGGTCTGTTCAGGCTATACGGGGGACTTCTGTCTTTTGGCGATGTCTGTGCTGTGCGTGTACACTGTATCTGCTGTGTACGTGCTGTGCGTAAGCTGAGTGTGGAGCGAAGTGGTCAGCGCGCTGCTCTATGAATCGGGCGGCCCGAGTTCGATTTGCGCTCACGGCCAACATCAGTGGCGAGTGACATCTGAATCGGTCTTGGCGCCTCCGTCTCCCGCTCCCTCCCCTTCACCCCCCCCGCCGCCCCCACCCTTCCAACCTCCACCCCCCCACCCCCGCACTTCGACTCCTCTAGATCGACGCAGCCTCAAATCAGTTCAGTATCTGGTGTGGTTGTAAGCATCAACACTGGGGGAGACAAGGACGACCGAGTGAGGATGCCGGTGACCACATCACCCCTCTCCGTGCCGCAGTGCTCGCGGCCTGACTAGATCGCTCGCTAAGTAACAGCCCGTGTCTGGACCCAACAGTCTAAGAGACTTGATGAGCGCTGTCTCCCGTCTGTGATGCTGCTGCTGCAGCACGCGCGTGTAGTATTAGAGCCTGGCTCGTGTTCGCGTCTCAATGCGTTCCGTGAAGAAAGCGCTCGGATGATTATCGCGCTGGTAATACCAAGACGCTTAATTTTCTTGGCTATAAATCCCTTAATTCAAACTCTCTCCCTTCTCTCTCTCTCTCTCTCGCGTCTCGTGTGTTCCCTTTACAAAGTTTATCTCCTCCAGAGCGGCCTGATAATTATATAACAGTCATTGCCTTGGCTTTTGCCGTGACGTGAAGACGAGCTCTCTCTCTCTCTCCTTGCGAGTGTGGAACAAAAAGAAAGACGTGCGCACACGAGACTGACTGCGACCTTCAGGACCACGTTTGTCTCGCCATATCCATCAATGCTGGTGAACTACCACGTGTTGATAGGCAAGGACTGGTTTCAACATTCAGTGTATCATCAGCAAAGTGAGTCTTCCTTGTACCAGAGCTGGTGAACTACCCACATGTGTATATGCAAGGGCCCTCTGTAGAAATGGGTGCTATGCATGGACGTCGATCTTCTTTCGTACCGTACGTAGCCAACCGTGCTCATCGTATGAAGGAGGTCACTCATTTCCCCTGCTGAACTTTAGTCTAGCAAGACACCACTGTTGAGAACAAAAAGATAACCCAAAGTAATTTGTTTAATGGTTATTTTACAGAGTGTTGTCGTTCATGCAAATTGCATCTCACAATCGCCGAGGAGCCACAGACAAAGCTGGAAGGCAGCGGCACCCAGGCGGTGATGAGCCAGCACGACCGACAATTGACTAAGCTCTGCATTACTATATATATATTAATTTGTTATCGGCAATCTAATACGTGTGTATACATCTGGTAGGCATCGGTAAGTAGTCACGTGTGCGAGGGGCAACGCTCTATCCCATTCAGATGGTACAGATGGACATTAGTCCACAAATTGCAGTACCACTTTTTTTTTCCTAGCGAGCCAGTGCATGGCAGCTCTTCGATCTCCCCGCGAAGAGAGTTTCACAGCTCATCTGTATGTGATCCACCAATCCTGACTGCTGCGTCCAAAGTGCTGGGTCACAGGCTACCACGTGCAGCGTAGCCTCCACCCCAGGCTAAGGCCTGGATCTGCTGATGAGGCCCAAACGGGGCGAGTCAGCAGTGGCACAAGACATTTCCAAAACTATCCTTGAACTTATTTTGGGCTTCTCTCTAAGGCGATTCATCCTGACACGAGTGCAGCACCTGGTGCGTAGACATCATAACCGGGGAGACAAAGGCGTTCGGGTGCGGCTCTGGCCTTACTTAATAGGTGCTCGCCAACAGCCCTGGCCGCGAGAGGAGTCCACGTGTGCGACCACCAAACTCCGCCAATGGCGTCCTGCGGCGCCACGCGGGGCCTCCCATCGCTAATTTTCTTTCAATTATTCAGCGATTTGTCTGTTCATAAACCCACTCACGACCCCCCACTGAGAAGAAGCATAAACAAACTAGCTGACAAACTCCTACCACCCCACCCCACCCCCCCAAAAAAAAGCAGGACAAGAAACAAATGTAAAATGACAACGATATTAATAATCGCGACAACAGCCGAGCCGTGGTGGTGGTGGTGGTAGCTATGCCGCACGTGGCTGCCACTCACCCCTCGCTGTAGAGGCAACAGCGAGAGGTCGGTGGATCACTGCACACGGATCATTGGGGAACTCCCTTCCTTCCCGTGGGCGTCGAGAGAGAACGTAACCCTGGCTCACCAGGACAAGGCGCTGCAGCGCAGTGGGGACTAATCACCAGCTGTTCCATCTGCACGGGGATAGAGTGTTGTCCCCTCGCACAAGGCTTAAGTTTTCTCCGGGCGCTCCGGTTTACTCCGCAATTAAAAGTAACACCCAATGTAGCAGCAGCAGCAGCAGGAGCCGTCTGGACATGGATACTATGACTCAGTGTTGCTCTTCTGCATAAATAAGCATATTGGTACTTAATTATGACAATTATTGAGTCACTGTAATTCGCGCATGGCGCCGTGGCACGGCTCCCGTTTCCCACAGGATGGAGTCGGATGCGAGCCGGATGCTGGCGGCTGCGATCCAGCAGGTGGATGGAATCATAGCAGGTACTCGTGGGCAGCGCCACACGTTCACGCAATCATTGAATCATACATTTGTGACTTTAATAATCCATTCATCCCTCCAGCAAGCCATCTATCGTTTAATCTAGTCATCAAACCATTCCTCACATCCATCCATCCTAGCTTATATCCATCCATTCTTATTTAATTCAGCCATTCATAAATCAATCTATTAATTCATAAATCCATTAGTTCATAAATCTACGTGTTTATTCATCCGTCCATATATTTCTCAATATATATCAATCTATCCATATCCTTAAATCCATCCATAAATACATCCGTCCATACATTTTTCTAGCTATCCATGAATTATTCCATATATCCATGCATTACTCCACCCGATCCATCATTCATCAATCCATTTCTCATCCTTTCCCTTCCCTCATTCATTTACCCGCTAACCTCATCCCGCCATCAAGCCATCGAATCACGAATCCATCCATCCATTGGTCCATCTGTCTGATTTATCCACCCTCCATTCACAAACTCACCGTTTTCAAACGCCACCAAATTTGTGAATGACTTTCAGCATTGAACCGCGGTTCTTTGTGCATTGTCTCCGCTCTGTCCAACGCTCTTCCCTCTCTGATCTATTTTCTCCTGCCCCTCTCCATCTCTCCTCGGAAAGAACAAAAAACCCACCCACAAACACGTCCGTGCAACGTTGCTTCGGTTAAAATCGACGACTCCTCGTTAGACCAGTAGCATCCTCAACCAACCAGCTGGCTCAGCGACAGAGAAAGCCGCTCGCAGTCGGAAAGACGACAGTTCAAATCCTGGCGATGGAGGGTTGACTCAGCCCATCATCATCATCCCTTTGGGGTCGATAAAATAGGCACCACTGTGTGGAGAAAGTCAACTGCGGTTGTTTTGCGGATATACCCCCCTCCCTCCGTCATATGAATGTGGATGTGTCACCACACACTCTGCAGGGCCGCAAACAGGGGCTGAGCACCGATGCACCAATGCTGCTGAGAGCAGCACGAATTGTGTTGAGTTCCACTTCAGTGGGCGAAGACGGGGAGCGCAGAGGCGCCGAGAGACGCGAATCACCGCGTGCCGCCGTCACTCGGAACACAGCAACGGGACATCTACCAACGTCTCGCTCTTGGGTGACAATTAGCCTTCATCTTCTTTGTTCTTTCGGTAAAGTCACGTAGAAGGGAAATAATAAACTAATAAAAATAAAACATAATAAAATAATTATTTAATTAATGTTTATTTGTATTATTAATAATAATAAAATAAGAAAAATATAACATAATAAAGTAATTATTTTATTATGTTATATTATTATTATTTTATTATTATTATTTCCCTTCTACGTGACTTTACCGAAAGAACCAAGAAGATGAATTCCTGCAGTCACGAAAGCTTTAAATCGAAAATTAGCCTTCATGTCGACGCGTCCGCTCTGCGCATATACGTATCGACAAAAACAGCAGCAGCAGCAGCAACAACAGCAACGAGACCCACACGAATAAAGAACAAAGGATGAAATGCATTCCTCAACGGCCACGGACAGCACAGGCCGTGCCTGGCGAGCACGTGGCGCCGCCTCGTTAGCGCTAACGAGGCGGCGTTAGAAGCAGCGAGACGCGGACGTGGGGGCCAGCGACGCGCGGTCGGAGCGCACTACCAGAGACGCGGCGTTGAGGACATGAGGGGGGGGGGGGCGATCATTAAGAAAAAATAAAAACTGTTGCTTTTCACAATTGCATACGAAAGCAGAAGAAGAAGAAGTGAGTGCCGGGGGGTTCAGGCATTTGAAGTGCCCCCCCCCCCCCGCGGTCGCCACAGTTAAGCCCATTAGTGCGCATTCCGCCGAGGAGAATGACATTTCAGCCCAGGGTGCATCACCGGGCTCGCCGTTTGTCTAGCGATGGAATTACCCTGGGAGGAGGAGGAGGGGGAGGTGCTGCTGCTGCTGCTGCGAATGGCCACTGCGGCTTTGCTCAGATTTAATTGCTGCGACGGCGTCCTCGATAGCTCCCTCCCACCCTGCCTCTCCGAGGCCGTGTCTGTCCGTGCGCCTGACGCTTGGGCGTAGTGCGAATTTTACCCGGAGAAGAGAAAAAAAAGAGAGACGCAAATAAATTTATAAATATTACTAAACAACCTCGTCCCGTAAATGTGGCTTTGATTAGCGAGCGGCTGCGCAGCGAGCATTGAGTGCGGGCTCGTAATGATGCTCGCGCTGTACACGGCTACACAAGGCGACACGGACAAAGATCCCCCGTCTAGCCTTCAACAGGCTGTCGAGGCAAGTGCTGTTAGCGAGCGACTTTAAAGGCCAGAACGGCACACGGGAGGGCGGGGGGGGGGGGTGTCCTCCACCACCACCACATCCGTCCCTCTTTGTCCTGCCAGTGCTGATGTTTACACGCTACACCAGTTACGCAGTTAAGGCTGAGTCGACCTACACGAGACCCATCACCTGTTCAGATAATTGTCACTCGCGTTGGTGGCCGTGCGGCAGGAATCGAACACGGGTCGCCTGGTTCGTAACGCAGCGCGCTAGCCACTGCACTACTGTCCTGCACATTCACGCGCCCGCACGCGCCCGTGTAATTAACGCTCAGCAACGATAGCGCGCGACCGTGCGCTCGCTGTCATTGCGGGGCGCAATTAGCGAGCAGCCGGGATTTGAGCATCGACGCCAGCTCACGGGCCCAGTGAACGAGGACGGATGTGATGCTCACAGAGTCCCGATTGCCCCATTAGTAACGTGTTTTGATTGTACGCGCTACCCATTAAACATGCCACGTTGGCCCAGCGTTGGACCGACGTTGGGTCAACGTCAACCCACATTGGGCCAACGTTGGACAGACGTTGGATCAATGCCTTCCAACGTAGGCCCAACGTTCCATGTCATCAGAGCCCTTCGGAGGCGACAACCTTCACGTCGTTCCTGACTCGTGCCAGGTCGATGTAGCACCAGGACCACACTCAGCCACCACGCTGTTGTGATTATCATCAACATTGTCACCATCAGTCACCGTGTCCCGGTCATGCCCGCGTACTTTCTGGAAAAGTCAACGCGCCGTCTCTGAGCGCGTTCGTCGATCTTTCACACGTGCGTTCCCCCGGTCCCGTCTCTCTGTCGAATCCAAAGGCTTGCAACTCTTCGTAGCCTTCTGCGCGTGTCTAAGCTCGTTTACTTTCTTCGCTCCCTTTCACCCGTGGTCGCACTTCCAATCCATACGGCACGGCAGGTGGCACGCGCACATCTATATGGGTGATTGGGTGAGTGAGTGGGTGAGTGAGTGAGTGGGTGAGTGAATGGGTGAGTGAGTTAATGGGTGAGTGGGTGGGTGGGTGAGTGAGTGAGTGGGTGAGTGAGTGGGTGGGTGGGTGAGTGTGTGAGTGGGTGAGTGGGTGGGTGAGTGAGTGGGTGAGTGAGTGAATGGGTGAGTGGGTGGGTGAGTGAGTGTGTGGGTGAGTGGGTGAGTGTATGAGTGAGTGAGTGGGCGAGTGGGTGGGTGGGTGAGTGAGTGAGTGAGTGGGTGAGTGGGTGGGTGGGTGAGTGGGTGGGTGAGTGGGTGAGTGAGTGAATGGGTGAGTGGGTGGGTGAGTGGGTGAGTGAGTGGGTGGGTGGGTGAGTGAGTGAGTGGGTGAGTGAGTGAGTGAGTGAGTAGGTGAGTGAGTGAATGGGTGAGTGGGTGGGTGAGTGGGTTGAGTGAGTGAGTGAGTGGGTGAGTGAGTGAATGGGTGAGTGGGTGGGTGAGTGGGTGAGTGAGTGGGTGAGTGAGTGGGTGGGTGAGTGAGTGGGTGGGTGGGTGAGTGGGTGGGTGGTTGAGTGGGTGGGTGGGTGAGTGGGTGAGTGAGTGGGTGAGTGAGTGAATGGGTGAGTGTGTGAGTGAGGGAGTGGGTGAGTGGGTGAGTGAGTGGGTGAGTGGGTGGGTGAGCGAGTGAGTGAGTGGGTGGGTGGGTGGGTGAGTGAGTGGGTGAGTGGGTGGGTGAGTGTGTGGGTGGGTGGGTGGGTGAGTGAGTGGGTGAGTGTATGGGTGAGTGTGTAGGTGAGTGGTTGGGTGGCTGGGTGAGTGACTGAGTGAGTGGGTGAGTGACGGCGCTTTCATTGTCGAGTTGAGCTGCCCAGAAGCACCACAATCATCTCGGTCAGCCTCCCTTCTCTCGGCCCTTATGTATACACGGGGACACTTTGTATCTTAACAAGAATAATCGTAATGATTAAAATGCAATTCGCAGCACGCACAATATTTCACGGATGTCAGGGACCGTGACTCCTGTGGCGACTCACAAGCCAGGCGACAAAACAAAACAGGTGGCGCCTTTAAGAAATAGTTGGAAGCCTCTGAGAAAGAGCTGGGGCATTTAAGAAAGAGGGGGGCCTTTAAGAAAGAGGAGGGGCTTCTGAGAAAAAGGGAGGGGCCTTTAGGAAAGAGCTGGGTGGGGCCTTGAAGTGTCTCTTAAAAGTTGGTGCAGCTTGAGCGCTGCAACTGCTGCTGCGAATGTGCAGTAGCAGTGGGGTGACACGAGGCCGGGCAATGGCCATGGTCTCGGTTCTTGGTGCCGTGGCGAGATGTTAACTACCTCGCCTGGTTTATAAAAGGTCGTGGGTTCGATCTCGACCCTGACGCCTGCTGCTGTATATTTGGAGTTTGCGTGTCTCTCTCCCCGTGGTCACGTGGATTTTTCTGGCTTTTCCCTCCACATTTAGAAACATGCGTTTATATCAATTGGCTGCCATACATTTCCACATGATGACAAGCCACTTCGTTGAGCTATCATTTGTAATAGCCAGGTCGCTTCTAAAAAAAGAGCTACGCAGCTCGGGCCTTACCTGGTAAAACAAACATAGGAAGGAGGAGGAGGGAGGGGGAGGAGGAGGTTGTGAGTCGCACAAATGACAAGACGCCGATAATACTCTCGGAATAAGCCGAGGTAAAAAGAAAAGACAATGCAAAAAACTATAATCATAGTTTTGGCAGAAGCCACTTGGCTCTCGTTCTGATCGCGCC